AATAATTTAAATCCATCGAAGTTAAAGTAAACAGAAAAAAGACTTTGCGATCCAGGCATTCATCTTGGAAGATGGGTACCCAAGATTCGTTTGAAAGCAAGTAAAGCCTTCTGACTTGCATTTCTTTTAACTAAAAGTTATGCCTAATCTACCATCCACACACATACAATGCCTACATATATATTTATATAAAGGCATTCTTTGCCTAATAGTAGTAGCGCTAGAATTGTAACCAAAACAATTGCTTCTTCTTCTTTAGTTTAAACCATACCACCAGAGGGTTCTTGGTCTCTGGCACAAAACGAAAAAGGAAAATAAAAACAAAACACTTTTATATTCTTTGCATTGTGTAACTTGTGTAAAATGTTAAAAAAGTAAGACAAACAAACAAAAAAACCAAAATACCATTTAAACAGACTTTTTTACACGAAAAAACATAGCCATAGTTTTTTCAATTGTTAAGGAATCGAAAGAAAACAAAGACATTGCATCTTGTTAGCCTTAGATAGTGTTGCGTTGTGTTTGTTAAAAGTTGTGTGTTCTTTTTCTGTTTTCTTTTCATCCATTTACAAAACATTCACATCTGCGCTAGACATGCAGTTCGCTTGTTTAATTTTTATTGTGGTTGTAGTTGCTGTTTAAATTGCTTATGTGAAATTGTATACTCCAGGGTACACGTTTATGCGGTTATTTATGGCAACAAAGTGTCAGCTCTTATCATTTTGAAAACATCTATGTTTTCATGGATAATTCTCTTTTCTACTATGTTTATTTTATCTTCTTTTTATTGTCCATATAAGAAATATCCTTTTGAAAATTGAAAAGAAAACTAATAAAAAATTTGAAAAAAAAGAGAAAAAAGAAACCAAAATATACGAATTAAACATTGTATTTCAAAAAAACTTGAGTGAAACTCAACGGTGAAGTATGTCGAGGTAGACTTAAGACACAAACTTGCTTAATATTCTACTTCTCTCATTTGCGATTTATTATTGTAAAAGACTTAAGACAAAAACTTGCTATTTAAGAAAAAAAATGAAATTCAATGATGAAATTTTTCAACAATGCTTCTCGTTGGATTTAGGAAAGGAGTTAGTTTCATTATACCCTGCAATGTCTGTAGGGCAGAGTACATTAATTTTCTGTGGATTTATGGCAGACCCATCTTTTGCTACATTGGTTGACTCAGAATAATTTTCCAATTCTGCTCAACTTACAGGTCGTAAGTTTTCGAGACATTTTTAAGAATGAATACTAATGAAAGTAAGAATTGGGCGCTACCAACCTACCAACGTAGGTTATCGGTTCATTTCTCGAAAAAAGCCTCTGACGGTCAGTATTTCGGCATAAGGAGTCTACCCGAAAAGCAAGCCTTTATATTAGTGGCGAAAATTATATATAGTAATAGTAACGTGACTAAAAAATTGGATCATGTAAGTCTATTTCTTGAATCTCATCTCAAATAAGCTTTCTAAAGAACGGTAGCTTATTATATAACGACAACATATGACATGTGATATTTGCTTAAAAAAATAAAAGAAGACCTTTCGGCTTGGTTGACTATAATGTTCTTGTTTGCTTTTCATTACTGATTTATTATGAATGGTAAAAGACTTAAGATAAAAAATTGTTGCTTGCGTATAAAAATTTATAACACCTTCAGCATGAAGAAAGATCTCTTTCACTACACTTTCGTAATGCATTTGCTTGAAAAATATGGAAATATTACAATTTTTCAAGTAATTTGTAACAGACTGACATCGCAGTTAATTACGTGTAACGAGATATGTAGAAGTTTGTGCACCATGCGGTCTTTATCACGTTAAAGCTTAGAATAGAAAATTAAAATTTAATGGATATATTCTCATTTCTTATCCGTCCCTAAGCAATTGATTGAAGTTAAGATACTAAAGAAAATAATTAAATTTGAAATATGTAAATATTTACCAAAGTCATCCTTTGTTTATATTTTCACCATTAAACGGTTCAGAAGCTGACAAGCTTAAAGCGCATTATTTTAATCGAAAATTTGCAACATTGAATATTCTATTTGTGATTGTTAGAACAAAGTATTTTGATCTTAATTTTAATATTTATTATAATTAATAGTTGATCTTGACCTCCTAATTAAATTATTCAATTTATGATATGAATGCTTTATGATATTCTCATCTATTTTGAATACAATCGCAATACGATTTACATTAATTTATATGAGATTTAATTTAAAAGAGATAAGAAAATTAATTGTTTATAACGAATAAAATAAACTATAGAATTTATTAGCGTTTGCTTTTTTTTCTCAAAATGTCCCGCGGACGGGAAATTGATCATTAATATCATTTTTTTTTTTTTTTTAATAGCTTAAAGTTGTATAAATTCATTTATGCAACAAGTAATGGTCGCGCGATTTAATTAGATTTAATAAAATATTTAATTTGTTATTTAAATGAAAACAGGTGTCAAGTTTTTTCTTATAAAAAAAGTCAAACTTAAAAGATCGTGGGTGGCTAAAGGTGCATCTATGTCAGCTTCACTTGTGAAATTGTAAGTAATTACACCTTTCTTCCACTCTCTCTCGTTTTGTTTGAGCGCAATGTGTTTGGCCTCGAAAAAATTTAGTACTGAAATAATTGTCCGCCATTTGGGATCAAGAAGCAATTGGTCGCTAATGTGACCTGCTGTTAGTTATCCACGCTCAGGTGTTCGCTTGCAAATGAAGAAAGTGTTTTAATAAGACGATAACTGTTTAAAAACGAAGACATATATATGCTTGTCGCGTGTGCACGTTGGTGTTCACAAATTATAAGTGGATGAGTTTAGGTCATATTTAATTTGCCATTAGATGACCGCATGTGATTTGTTTACCCATTTATTTATTTCAATGTTTGCAGTTCACCTTCACACACACACACAACACATTACAAGCTTCAACTAAATTCAACTGTAAGTTTCAAGTTACTCAAGTTATTTCTTAAGACTAAGAAGAAATGTTGATAACATCTCCATTAGCGACAACAATAACAGTAGAAGACGGACTCCAGCATAGTTAATCTAAACGACTTTATGATAGTGCGATATTTAAATTATGACCTACGAACACAATTTAATTCTTATAATTTATCTGTTTGTTTATCTTTATCTCCCTTTTATCCATTAATTAGATAAAGTAATTATATTATTAATTAAATTTACATTCCTGAATCTAGTAAGTACTTGAGACACATTCATATATATCCAGAGATATATTATATTGCTAAATGACAACACTTTGTATACAAGAAAACCGATAGATAAAATAATATTCCCTGATATAATTAAGAGAATGAATAGACGAGTCAAACAACTACTAATACTAGAACCCAAAACAGATTATAAAAGAGGTATTTGATGCAACATTGGGGTAGTTTCACTGGCACAAAGTGCTCCACGAAACGAGAAGACAAAGTGAAGGAAACGTATTCAAGGAAAGTCAGAGAACAAAGGGAGATTTCTTTATTAATTTGACCACAAATAAAACAGATAACATCCTACGACCTCTTGCAAGAATTGATATATGGAGTAATTTTAATTTGTGTTCGTATGACGGAAGGTATAAGCGAGAATCCTACCCTAATCCACGTAATTTAAATATTAAAAAATTACGTTAAACTAATTCTGAGAGATTACGATAACACTTTAACTACATGACCAGATAATAAAAAGCATTATATAAGTTATTGCATATATCAGTTTGATTAGTCTTTCGGCAGGGAAAGCTTCAAATCGATCACCGCAACGCATGTGTAACTATGCTTGGTTGACTTAAAAACCAACCTAAATATCTGTGGCCAGTTGAAAAGAAAACAAAGTGTAAGCTCTGGTGAAATGTGTGCAGCGCATTTTCTGTTTTAAAAAGCGAAAAAGAAAAAAAATATAAAATACGCCGCATGAGTAGCCAAGTAGGCTAAGGATCGCGTCTAACAACTTAATGGCCGCAGGTTCAAATCCCAACTGCTCTTTAGGGTTTTCAATACAGGCGAACATATGATCCAAGTCATGCGATAGCCTTTAAATTCTTACTTTGTACAAAAAATAAATAAACGAAATAAGGGCACTTAGGTTAGATTGTTTGTATTGTTGAAAACTGACGCGGTTGCTGGCGTATCTAGCGATGTCTGCGAGCATACCAGGCCAATAGTTGCGGCTACAGACCTCATTTATAGGTTTTCGATTACTAATATGTCCTCAAGTTGACCCGTCACGGCGCTCTTTCAACTTTTGTTCCCCCATTGTTGTGGGTATGCGTAACTGTCATCTTATGCATGAGTAGCGAAGCAGGTAAGCGTGATGACTACCACGTCAGCGCTGGCCGATTCAAATATCAAGCGCGGTAGAGTTTTCTTTGGTCGTAGCTATAGTGACTGCTCACTCGATAAAAGCGTAATCTTTACCTACACATCCACTATCCGGTATTCCACACCGTCACCGTATCACACGTTTATGGCACATCTCGCGAGTGACTGATCATATTAAAAAAGAAAAAGTAATAAATAAATAAATAATTTGTAAGGTTGCGGACAATCTTCTGAATAGCGAACGGAGCGCGTAGAATCGAAGGGAAGATCTCCTATATAATTGATCATTGAATAAATAAGTAAATGTTAAGTTCGCCAACTACTCTCTGAAGAGCGGAAAGAGTGCGTAGAATCGAAAATAATTTCGGGATTGTACTAAGTTATTAGCTCCCGTAAACCAACTACTTATTGAAAATCATTGACAGAAAAGCGCAAAGACGTGAAGAAATGCTTTAACGGCTGAAGAAACAGACCTTAGAGGTCATTTCAGGAGTTTTGTTATTTTTTTTTTAACAAAAGAAGTTGACCTATTCTTAGCACATTATAATGGCATTGTATCTTTGTTTGTTTTTTTTTTTTGATTTTATTCGATTTAATTAACTTAACTGATGTAAATTAGTTTAATTATGATAATAATTAAAGTGTTTCCTTCTTTCATTCCAGCTTGTCAACCTAAATTGGTTCGTAAAAAATTATCCCGCGGCGATATAACATATAGAATGCTAGGGAAACACGGTAGCTGAACAGAAACGAATATTAAAAGGAAATAATGATAATTTCAAATCATAAATTTAACGGGGAAACATTAATTTTCATTTAAAACAAGGCAAAGCATTAAATGGAAGAAACGTCTTGCAACGGCAACTGAGAAAGCAAAGAGTAATTACTGGAAACTTGTCCACATTCGCATAATAATAATAACAACGAAACATACTAGAAAGGAGGAAACCTGGTGGAAATCGTTGTCGTTGCTTGTTTTTTTTTTTTTTTTTCTTTTCTTTTAATATTTTTTTCTCACAATCGTAGCACTTGTAAAACATTTAACTAAACATGGAAATAATGGCTAACGCAAGTAATCACAATCAAAATCATCAACATCAGCAGCAACAAGAACTAGGTTTGTTGGTTGCTATACCAAAACGACAACAGCTACAACAACAAGAGCATTATAGTCATCATTATAACAGTGAAGCTACTGGTAGTAAAGCTGTTGTACCTGGTTCACATCTACCATTTCAACGTGAGGTGCGTGAATGGCAACGCATAGATCCGGATACAGGTGCATTGCATTCAGGCCGTTTAGAAGCTGATCGCTGGATAAATGGTCCCTTAAATAGTTATGGCAAAGTAAGTAGAATAAAAGATTACAAATAAAAAATAAAAAAAAAACCTAATATCTTATTTGACGTATAAAGCTTATATGGCTAACCATAATTGATTGCTGTATGTTAACATTAAATAAAATTAAAAAAAAAAAAGGAGAAAAGAAGAACACAATATATTGTCCACACAGAGCATAAAACTAAAACAACAAACTGGGATTAATAAAAGGCACTTGAGTAAAACTTAATTAATAGCTTATTGGAGTTTGGATCAGTTTTCCTTTTGATTAGTTTTACCCAGCTTGTCGTTGGCTTTTAAATTGAATCTATCCTCAGAGAGTCTTTTGATTTTACGGCACAATTTATTTTTGAAAATAAAAAATCGCAACTTCTATAAATTGTTAAGCGAAATTTCCATAAGCAATCCCTCTGCTTAGTCATTGCGTATAGAAATTGTCAACGAAACTCTATCACAACAATAAATCAATAGTTTATCGAGTATTGTTTCTAAAGCAAAAAAAAAAAAAAAAAAGAACAGAACATTCTTGTGCAGTTTGTCGAGATTAAAATAATTGAATAAAAACAAATAAGAAAATTATATTCGATCGTAACCGAATCTTTTATACCCATCATTGCTATCCTAAAAAAGACAAAGAAAGCAAAAAAACTAAACACACTTTATCACAGATACGGCACACACACGTTTATAGGTGCAATCCAAATTTCAAACTGGCCAAAAATTTATATACTTTATGGGGTTTTGAAACTTCTTTATTGAAAAATAAATTAAATTTTGATACACTGCAACATTGGGCAGGCGTGGTCAATTTTTTGCCAATTTTGTACAGTGTCAAATTTTCGTACATTTGTCTGCTATAGTTTATGGGTAATGGTGAGCAAAAGTCAAATTTTTTATTTCGCTTTGAAAAACAAAGTTTTTCTTGTGGTGCTTTGGATGCGTCGTTCGAATGTTTTGGCCCGTTTTCAATACCAACCTGCACGCAAGAGCTTGAAATTGTTTCTGACAACTTTGAAGTTGATAGCTTAATATTTGCGGCCAGAAGAATGTTCACGGCAGACATTAGGCAGACGGACGGATGGACGAACGGATATGTTTAAATCGATTTAGAATTTGATGCTGATCAAGAATGTATATACTTTGTGGGGTCTCTGAAGCTTCCTTCTGGACGTTGCAAACGTTTTGACAAACTGAATATGACTCTCATCCTTCGGTGATGAGTACAAAAAAAAAAAAAAATACCAGAAGAGTTTATGAATTCAAAGCCAGTTTCTATTGGAGCTAATTAACGTTTCGTTTGAGAACATGAAACAAGTTTAAAGAACAATGAAACCGATAAATATCTTAGAGGGCCATTTTCTATTCCATTTTTACGAAATTGTACGACAATTAGTTGTCTTTCAATTTGTTAACAGATTTACTAGATCCATTTGCTGTCATTTTTGTACTCTTTAAATAGTCTTGCGATTTACTTTGTCCAAATTCAACATATTGTTGGCTGAAGCATTAAAAAATGACTACTAAAGAATACTAAAAGAATTTTGGACTTTGAACGGTCTCCTAAGCTCTCAACAATTATAAGCAGACATATCTGAACCTATTCATCTTACCTATATGACTGGTAAATTTCCACTCTTAGCATTCCAGGATAGACGGCAGCACTATCAGACGAACATAATCAATAAGCTTTTGATATACTACGGTAATCAAGAAGACACACAACTTATGCAGCTACTGTGTCTTTCTGTGCTTTATAAATAAAGTAACAAAGCTGGTATTGATTATTACTTTTTACGCCACCTGACTGCATTCTGAGTTATGAAAAAAAAAAAAAGAAAAAAAAAAAGAATTTATATTTTTGCAGATTTGCTATAAATTGTCTTCACCGGTTGATTTTTATATTTTTACACTTAATTGCTTTTTAATACTTAATAATTATGCGTTTATATCTGTGTACACTTAATGTTAAAGGTATTCAATCTTCATCAAGAAACTGTTGTAACGAGTTATCGAAAACATATATTAAAACAACTTTTTAAACATTTCTTGACAATTCTAAAAAGGAAAAAGATTAAATCCGTATGCGATCAGTTATTTTGCGAACATGTGAAGAAAAAACTAACAAAAAAAGCTTAAGAAAAAATGAAACATTTTTTTTTTTTTTTATTAATTGAAAAACAATTTCAATTTCGTGTTATTATCATTACTTTCTAATCTTGGTTTTGGTGTGAAATCGACTTCACGG